CACCCCGCCCCTGTGCAAGTTGAAAGGTTCGGAAGTTTGGAAACAAAAACGCAATCAATATTCCCATCCAGGCTGAACATTTCCCACCCAGTTTTTCCACGAGCCAATGCACACAGCGCCAAGAGGCCGGCCCTCATTGAGCAGCCCTCCCTGGGAGGTCCTGGCCCTTCGGAGGGCAGGGAAGCCGAGAGCCGCAGGCTGGGAACTGCGGGTTACCTTGCTTCCGACGGAGCTGCGACCGGAAGGCTATGAGCCAGTGTGAGCAGAGCTGTGGCGGTGAAAGACGCCAAGAACAGCATGGCCCCGAGGAGGACAAGGACATGTTTACTTCTGCAAAGAGAGGGCATGGACAGAAGCGCTCTTCAGTTTCCGTCACCGCAAAATCTGTGGCCACGAAAGATTTGAAAGCTTGGCAATCAGAGGCACTTCCTGCTAGGGCTGCCATTGAGAGAGGCTGCTGTGGGGGCAGCCGTGGCAGAGTGGGCTGGCGTTAGAGAACTGGGTTAGCCTTTAGACTTGACCGTTTACTGGCTGTGCGACCCTCGGCAGGACCTTGAACTTGAATTTCCTCATCTTCACCCTGAAATTTACCATGCAGCTCAACATGAGACCATGCTTGGGAATGTCCCTTGCGACCCACAAGGCACTATACGGATATAAGCAGTGGTTGATTTAGGAGAGAAATGACTGTCAGGCCCGGGGGGTGCAGGGAGGGGAATAGCATAAGGGGGGGCCAGGGATTCTTCCCCCACCCAGATGCAATCTGAGACAAATATCTGGGTGCTGGGAGCTGATATGGGGTTAGGAATGAGGGATGGGGTGTGGAACAGGGAAGCAGGGAAAGCTAATACAAGGATGCACTAGGAAAGTGACTAACGCTCCATTCTTCCAGAATGTTCTATGGACCCTTATGAAATGCACCTGAAAGCTGTCTTGGGATATGAAAGAAAGAAGCCTTTTCTAGTGTCTTCTATCCCCCATGGGTCAAGGGTGGCCCCACAAATGTCAGTGCCGTCACACTTAGGGACTACGCATGTTTAAGGCCAAGAGAAGTCCTGAAGGAGTCCCAGCTGTAGTATGTAGGAGGTTCTGGGGCAGGGAATGAGATTTAGAGACACAGGCTCAGAGCAAGGCAATGTCTGGTTGCACCTACTCAGAATTGTGAGGGCTGGGACCAAGACGATCTGCAGTGGTAGAGAAGAAATGTCAAACACAGGTGCAAGACTGTCCAGGCACAACCCTGTCTGGATGATGCCTCTGACCAGCCCATTCCACTGCTTGAAGTTGCCATGGTTCTTCATGCAGAAGGGATAAGGTACCATTTGTATATCATGAGTGATGCAGGGAGCAAACGATTTTAATCCAGAGTGCCAATTCTAGTTTAGTGTTAATGCTTGGAATGGAGAAGGGTTAGTTAGCTCAGTGGTGCTATGATTGATTAGTAATGTCTGCTGTGAGCGTGGGCTGGGAAGTTATGACAACGATGCTGTCTATTTACTGTGCCATTTGCCAGACCATCTAGTTCTGCCCTCCTTGAATTACTAGCATTCTATATGAGTGTGTTCTCTAAAGAAAAACCTTACCTTTTTTACCGCGCACCATTTAGAAGCTAAGTCTAGTTGCATGGCGGCAAGCTTGGATAGGGCTGGTTTTTAGCTGAGGGATTGAAATCTGTCTTCCACGACAGCCTCTAGGAAAGATGCTGACATTGGGGACAGGGCTCCTAAGTCACAAGGACATTCAAATAAGTCCCCAGTAGGTCTAGAGTTGGGGAGTACTAAGAATTCATTGTCTTAGGTGGGTGGTAAGTCATCCAGTCAGGCCATCCAATAAAAACCCACATCCACCCAAGTAAATATTTGTTTAACTCCCTGGGGGACTTGAGCCCAATCTGTGGCACCTCCTCTCAGGAGTCAGACAAGTCTCCCCTGGCTAACCACCGCTATAATAAAACGAATAAAGTGTCCTGACATAGACTGTTATGGGCTGGATTGTGTCCCCTCAAATTCCAACTTCCAGCACCTCAGAATGTGACTCTATTTGGAGATAAGGTCTTTAAATTGAAAATTAAGGTGAAATGAGGTCATTGGGATGGGTCCTCAGTCAATCTGACCAGTGCCTTTCTGAGAAGAGGAGGTTAAGACTCGGACAACCACAGAGAGAAGATCATGTGAAGACATGGGGAGAGGCTTCAGAAGAAACCAACCCTGCTGACACCATGATCTTAGACTTCTAATCCCCAGAGCCATGAGGAAATAAATTTCTGTTTAAGCCACCCAGTGTATGGTTTTGTCATGGCAGCCGCAGCAAGCGAATACGCATAGGGGCCAAAACAGACACATGCCCCGCCTTACCTCCTGTTAGTCCTTTGTCCTCCAGAGCCCTGAGCCGCTAATCAGGGCCTTTGACCACAGCACAAATGGCCCAGTGCCAAAGGCTTCCCTCTGCCAACTCAGGTTAGTGGCTATATTTTCTGGCTTGTTGAGGGGACTACTCCTGGGCCAGCGGGATTGAGAAAGTCCCAGAGCTTCAAGCACTGACCACCATCCCCATTTTCTCAAGAGGGATGGTCCCTCAAAAAGGTCCATTCAGGGGCCATAGCCCAAGAGGAGGAAGGAATAGCAGAATGGCTGAGTGTCTTCCTTGCAAGCCTGTCAGCCCCCAGCATCCTGGCCAGGATTCCCTACAGGATTTCTCTTGCTCTTTCTTCACTAAATGCTTGGACACATCCTGCTGCAAATGCCACCCTGAGGAAGCCTGTAGAGGCTTGCCCTTTCTCCTCTGCCAGGGCTGCCGGGCCTGCTGAGGCCTCACACCTGATCCACCTGGTCCTGCAGGCACTTGCCAAGGACTCCGGAGCCCTTCGAGCAGCCACAGTCCAGCACAGAGCCAAGGCTTGTGACAGCACCAGAGAACAGAGAACGGGTCAGCCCGGCTCTGCTGGGCCCAGCAGCTCCCCCTCCCCTGAGGGAGCTCTCAGGGTTTGACTGCCTTGTGGGAGGGAGAGTCCACCCCAGGGGAGGCCCTGTGGGCCTGAGCAGGTCTCAGCTGCTGCTCAGGGAGCCCCTCCCCTAGCAGCAGGAGAGATCAGTGACCCAGGAGTGCTCGGGGAAATCAGCCCACCCTTTCTAAGGGGCCGGGGAGGGGGTGGGGGGTGGAGACTTGGTCAGCATCCCAAAGCCACCTTTACCTCCTCTCCACCTTCCTTGCCTGATCCATGGTAGGGTGAGGGGAGGAGGTCCCACTAATTCTTAATTCCCACCACCCTCAGTGATTTCATCCTGGGAGATGTGAGTATCAATTAAGCAGGCATCGAGTGGTAGGTCTTTCTACCAGAGGATGTTCAGAGTTAATTTTTTAAATCTCCATTTCCCAAACAAATAGCAATGTGATTATTAGATCTCATTTCCATCTTATTACCAGATTTTATTTCAATCTCATATGCTTGTATCAGTTCTGTTATGCTATCAAAAATTGCACTCCCCACACCTCAACCCCCACTCTGAGAAAATAGGCCGTTCGATTCAGATGCTTTTGTTTCATGGGTGGGGGAGCACTTGGACCTCCCTGCTCTCCCCACAGCAATCATACAGAGACAGACACACACACACACCCCCCGCAGCATCGGGCATTTGTTCATGTCTCCACACCCTCTCACCCACCTCAGAGGAGTGGAACTAAGAAGGGGTGAAACATGAAGTGTGGAGGAAGGGGTGAGGCTAAGCAAGAGGACCTCAGACCCTTCAATGTGGGAGGCCTTTGTTAACATCTGCTCCACACCAATACCTTCTGGAAAGGGTATTTAGAGAAGCCAAAGAAGGGGACTGATTGCCCAGATAAGGGGACCCTCTGTGGAATAGGGATGGAGCAGAGAAGATAGGGAGATGGCCACCCCTAAATGGGTTTAGGGGAGGAACAGACGCTCACAGTGGCTTATCCAGCCACCCTTCCCCCAGTCCCTGCGAGACTGGGAGGGCAAGGGGCCGCCCCTGCTTGGGGACAGCAGCTGGGGACAATGACGATGACATGGCATCTCAAATAACAGGTAGCTGAGTGACATGTGGTCGCACATTACTGACAGGCAAGCTCTGTGCTGGTTCCCATGTGTATGATCTTGCTTTGTCCTCCAACCCTGATGTGAAGCACTACCAGCTCATTTTATAGAGACAAAAATTGAAGATGAGAGTCTAGCAACTTACCCTAGGTCCCCTAGCTAGTGACTTACCAGTCATGATTTGAACCCATGTCTTTTGACCAAACTCACGATCCCAGCAAACTGCCTTTGTGCTTAGTGAAATCCATGGAACATTTTTTTTTTTTAATGATTAGTAAAACTAACAAACAAACACCTCTTTGCATTTAAAGCTAGAAAGCAGGGTGTATTTAAGATATGTGAAAAAGCAGATTTTCCTTTTTTTTTTAGGTGCTTAATTCTTAATTAAGTTAAAATTAGGATTCTCTCTCTCTCTCTCTCTCTAAAATAAATAACTCTTGGGGCGCCTGGGTGGCTCAGTCTTTAAGCGTCTGCCTTCAGCTCAGGTCATGATCCCAGGGTCCTGGGATCGAGCCCCGCATCGGGGCTCCCTGCTCAGCCGGGAGCCTGCTTCTCCTTCTCCCTCTGCTGCTCCCCCTGCTTGTGCTCTCTCTGTCTCTCTCAATCTGTCAAATAATAAATAAATAAACTCTTTAATAAATAAGTAAATCTTAAAAAAATTAGAATGCATTTCCCTTGCCCAGGATGCATGAATGTTCACATGTGGCTGGAATGGGCAACATCCTGGGTCAGCCTGTGGTTTAAAGGTCTGTCCTACAGAGAGCATTAACAGGAAACCATGATGCAGAGCTGGTCAACACATATTTGGAACTCAGCTGCACCCCTAGTAATTGAAGACTTGCAAGTTAGATGTGAAAAATGAATGTTTTCTTACATATCAAAATAACAAGGTTTGTATTTTGTTTTGTTTTGTTTTATTATTATTTTTTTAAATGTTTTATTTATTCATGAGAGTCAGAGAGAGAGAGAGAGGCAGAGGCAGAGGGAGAAGCAGGCTCTCCGCCTAGCAGTGAGCCCGATGCAGGACTCGATCCCAGGACCCTGGGATCATCACCTGAGCCGAAGGCAGACGGTTAACCATCTGAGCCACCCAGGCACCCCTGTTTTGTTTTATTATTAACATTCCATGTTGGCAACAGTGCAATTAGATGGCCAGAGGACTGAATATTGATAGACCTTTAAGGAAAGCAATTTGTCATTATGCTTCAAGAGCCTAGAACACATTCCTGCTCTCTGACCTAGTAATTCCCCTTTAAGATATGCATTCTAAAGAAATATCAGAGTTGGAGAAAAATGGTTACCATGAAAATATTGATCAGACTGTTATTTATAAAAGCATAAAATCAGAAATAATCCAAGTGTTTAACAATTGGGGAAGGTATAAGTAAACTAGAGTTCATTCATGGAATGGAATATGATGCACACATTAAAATTATATTTACTTAGAAGTAAAATAATATAAGAAATTGCTTATGTCATAAAACTATTAGAAGAAAGATACTAATGTGTAGATACAGAATCCTTTCATATATAAAAAGCTATGCAGAAAAAAAGACTGGAAAAATAAACACGAAGATATTAACATAGAATTCACTTCTCCTTGAGCGAGGGATGGGTTGAGGGTGATGGTTTTCCCCTCTCTTCACCCTATTACCTTCCAATGTTTCTTAAATAGAACGTGTATTTTAACAAAAAAAGAAACATCTTTTAAAATATGGCATGGAGGGGCGCCTGGGTGGCTCAGTCAGTTAAGCGTCTGGTTTCAACTCAGGTCATGATCCCAGGGTCCCGGGATCGAGTCCCACATCAGGCTCCCTGCTCAGCGGGGAGTCTGCTTCTCCCTCTCCCTCTCCCTCTGCCTGCCACTCCCCCTGCTTGTGCTCTCTCTCTCTCTCTTAAATAAATAAATAAAATCTTTAAAAAATTATATAAAAAAATAAAATATGGCATGGATAATCCCCAAGCTGTAAGTCTCCTCATGAATTGTTGAGGCCTTAAGCTTTTCTAGAACTAACAAAAATTAAGGTAATAAATATCCGATGTGGGGAACAGGTACACTGATGCATTGCTTGGGGCATTGTAATTTACCTCCCTCTTTCTGGAGAATAATCACACAATATGTAACAAGCACCCCCAAATTGTGCCTACCCTCTGAGCTAGTAATTCCACCTTGAAATAGGGCCCCACGGAAATGAAGAAGAGTGGAAATGTAGTATGTTCAAAGGCAGTCATCGAGGGGTCATTTGGAGTCATGACAAACTGGACCTAACCTAGATGGCCAACCACAAAAATGGTTTATTACTCTGAAAACTGACAAGTATGCAGATCGTGTCGCTATGTGGCAATGTTTACAAAGACCGTTAAGTGGGAAAAGCTGAGACAGGATATTAATACACACGGATTGCAACTCTGCAAAAACACAGTGGGATTCGAGTAGGACAAAGATCAGAGGAGGATGCGGAAGAAGGTAAATAGTGGAGGATGTGGTGTCCAGACTGTTCTGAAAAGTTTGTTTCCTAAACTGTAAAGGCTGCTGTGCCCAGAACTGTAGGACTCGCTGAGAGTTCCGTGGGAGACACCCCACGGGGAGACCACACCTGTCCCAGGAAACTCACTTTCCGTGGATGAGGACGATCGCCGGCGTGGTGAGATGGAACTGAAAGTCGTTGGCGAGGTACCACGTCCAGCCATTACACTGAAACGAGAGGAGCAGAGGTGACCCCTTTCCCTCGCTCATGGGGCACCCCACATTGTCTCACCTTTCTGGAGCTGGAGGAGGAACTCACTGGGCAGCTGCGGTGGGGGAGGGGGGCAGGTGGTGGATTTCCATGGGAAGAGAAAGGAATTCTGAGTTCCAGGTATTTCAGGTACCCCATCTCATTTAATCCGGGAACAAGCCTGGGTGGTGGGGATTATTATTGCCAGCTTACAAAATGGAAATGCGGGCAAGTGTTCTCGCTTGTTGAAAAAAAGCAGTAAGAGCTAAGCTCCCAGCACCCTCGTGGGAGCTCAATGCCATCCCATGACCCGAATGTAAGGAACAACCATGGTTTTGGTGCCGTCAGAGTCCATGTTGTGCCCTCTTCCCTGCCTTGCCGGCCCTCCCAGCCTCCAGGGGAGGAGTGTGCTCACTTAGCATGGAGGCCTGGCTCCAGACGAGATTTTCTGGGAAGGCCCAGAGTTCCCACGAGAGCCTGACAGGCGGTCCTCTGGCCCAAGCCACCTCGCTGCAGAGGCTGTCCGCCTTTGTGTGGAGGGAGGCAGTTACCTGTATTTCTTCTTCAATGTGAGGAGATTCCCGGGGGCGATTCTCTCCAGGGCTTCAGAGATAAAAGGCTCCTTGTTCCCTCCAATCCCCCACCAGACTTATCCAGGGCAAGTGACATCTTTCCTTGTCCCCGCTAGAAAGAAGTTCCCGGGATGGGCAAATCTGTGAGGACTCAAGGCCTGACAGCCCTCACACTTCTGCTTTCAGGGACCTGAGGCGGGCTTTGCCTCCAAGAGGGGCTGGCTCGTGTCCTTGTCCCCGCTGCCCACGCACAGCCCCAGCCAGTCTGCATCTGGGCGAACGGGCCGGCCTGTCCTCCATGGGCCCTGTCCCAGACATGGGCCCCTCTGAAGGCGGTTAGGCTGGGACGGACACCCTGTCCGAGCTGCCAGGCACTGGCTGATGGAGGGCAGCCACCCCGTTGGTAAGTAGTTACGCACAGAGATGAGTCACGCTTTAGCGATTCTCTTGTCAGCCTTGCTTTCCAGGCATGTGCAAACGTCAGTGACATGATTTAATTATAGCAATTTCACTTGCGTTTACTCCAACGTCATTATGAGGAGAGGAGGGCTTTGGGGAAGCCCCCACCCACATATACAGAGGCTGTGGCTTGAAATGGAAAAGAATTCATTACGGCGAAGGTGCAGTGCAGTGTTCCATCCCAATTATAGGTGAAGAAAGTGTCCTTTCTCCATGGGGTGACACGGGCTGGAACAGGAACCCGACGGGGCAAGGCCAGCTGCATCCGGGACAGGCACCTCGATGGTCGGTGGGCAATGCCCACTACTCCCCCCCCTCCGCTTGTCACAGCAACCCTCCCTGCCAGGACTGGTTTGGTAACGCTCACCCATCCTAAGGCGCTAGGCTCCCTGCCCGCAGCCCACCTTACTATGGCTTCGCTGTTACTCCACAGAATATGCCAGAAGAAAGGGCACTGGACTCGGGTTGGCCCTTGGAAAGTTCACCAAACCACGTGAAGGGAGACCCAGCGTTTGCCCCTGCCCACCTGCCTGTCGCTAGCCCCTAACAGGGGACTCACCGCGTTTCGGACCGACAGGAAATTATTGAGCAACAGCAGATTTGTCCACCACGCCTGCCGGCAGTTATCCAGGTGGAACTTGGGCACGTCCCAGACAGGTCCCCAGGGAACAAGAGAGAACAAGCCAACCAACAGGCACACGGAATACAGGTGGAGAGGCTGCAACCTGGCAGGGAGAGCCGGGGGAGAGAAGGTCACTCTCCACAGTGGTTCCATTCGGTCCCCTGGGCGAGTGAGCGAGAGAGATGCTCCAAACCAGATTATACTGGGTGGGCGACCAGCTCCCCGGCCACACGGCAAACACTCCCACATTCCTGGGTAAAAAATCATGAGCCCCCAACCCTGAGCCAGCTCCAGTGCTGTGGATGCAAAAATACTATTAGTCATTGAGCAAGTGGAGCATGTTGGCCACTGTGCTAGGAGCTTCTCAGATACTTCTAACCCTCGGAACACTCCTTCAGGGAAATACTACGTGCATTTTACTGGTGGGGAAATGAGAGCTCTAAGTGTGGGCGATTTGTCCAAGGTGGCCCAGCCATTACCGCAGTGCTGAGATCAGACATCGGTTCCTGTTCTTTATTTCTCCCTCCCTCCCTTCATACCCTACCTCGTCCCGAGCAGGACCTGAAGTAGCTACAAAGATGATGGGAAAAAAGGCACAGGTGTCCTTTAGAAACAGAATTGGAGCCACATCTCCCACCTAGTGTACACATTCTAGCAGCCACGTTTGTCACCCTGGGAGCGAGTCCCGCACGGGGCTCCCTGCTCGGCGGGAAGCCTGCTTCTTCTCCCTCTGCCTGCCGCTCCCCCTGCTTGTGCTCGCTCTCTGTCTGTCCAACAAATAAATAAAATCGTAAAAAAAAAAGAAAGAAAGAAAGAAACAGCTACAATGAATTTTAATACTGTACCTTATAGAGCTCAATGTATCCAAAATATTATTTCAATAGGTAATCAATCTAAAAAGTTAGTGAGCTGATTAACATCCTTTCTTCTTTGACTACATCTTTCGAATCCGGTGTGTACATTTACTACTCGCCCACACGTCCGTGGGCCACCTGTCGGGTGGCTCCCCATGGGACCTCACTGGCCTCGAGTTTAGAAGTGAGGTTGTAGCGGGGAGAGGGACACGGTCCTGGCATGGATTCTGGGTGAGCTAGGATCCCAGCCATCTTTTAAAAGAACACATTTAGAAATTCAGAGCAGAGCACATGGCCCAGCAGTGTCTCCGAACATTTCAGTGGGGGCACCAGGGTGCGGGGTGGGCTGTGACAGATGGGAAGGGTAGGACTCCGGGGTGGGCGGGGGCAGCACCCAGCCTCTGGTCTGCACGGGCCCCGGGCCTGTTGGCCTCCCGTCCTCCCCACGGTGATAGCATCCTTCCTAGCATGTGTCTGGTAGGCTGGAGGGCTGTGGGCATGCAGGGAGCAGGTGGGAATTGCAGATCACAGTCAGACAGAAAGGGCTGCCGACGGTGCCAAGACGTGTCTCCCCCGATCAGCTCAGGCAACAGCCATGGAGCCCTCCCCAGGCCTGGGCCCTGCCACATTAGCCATCTGACCAGGCTGCCCTGCAGCTGCTCCCACAGGCCTCCCAAGCCTCCCTTCCCACCATCTGTCACCTCCCCGGGGAGAGTAAGTCAACCCCCTGCTCCCCTCAGAACCACAGTTCAGGTCAGATGCCCTCAGAAGGGAGCAGGGTCCGGGCATCGTCCTCCCCAGCGCAGCCTCTGAGTTGGGGCCTGCGGGGGCGAGGCAGAGGCTGCTGGGGTGGGTCTCACCTTGAGGAGCAAAGCTACAGAAATGGGCGTTCTAGTTTTATCTAAATTTTCATACTGAGAACATCATATAACTTCCCTCTTCCCTCTTCTATGGAAAAGGGGGAATAATAATTCCTTATTTTAAAGAGGCTCATGATTCCTGCCTCCTGAGATTTTTTGAGAACCAAATGAGATCAGTAAGAAAACAGTGGGAAACATCGAAAGCATCAGGTAAATGTAAATGCTCTTCATTTTTGTCCAAGCTTCTGGAAGATTTAAAGTCAAGGTTTTCAAAGATTAAAAAGTACAACTTCGGCTGTTGTAAGAGGTGTGAGAAGCAGGCATTCTCATACCTGGTGGGCAGGAAGGTAAATCGGAAAACGTCCATCAAAATGTTAGATGCACCAAACTACCAATTCTACTTGTAGGAATTTACCCACAGACATGTTCACAACAGTGCACAAAAATGTAGAGACACTGTATTATTGTCTAAGATAGCAAAAACTTGGAATTACCACCATGCCCATTAATGGGGACAGGTTAAACTCCTAATAGTCCACCCACACATCACCATCCCAGGCAACCTTTGAAGTCAGTGAAGTCCTTTCATGCAGAGAGAGAGAGACATGCCAACATTAATCATTAAGTGCAAAAAAGCTACACGCAAAATAGTGCGGCATATAGTATAAACCTATTCATGAGGGAAAAAAAATCCTAATGCATATAAATACACGGAAAATATCTGCAAGAATTCACAAGAAACTGTTATCAAAGGTGTCCTGTGGGGAGTGAGACTGGAATGGGTACCCTTACTTTTAGTATATAGCCTTCTGTTACAGTTAGACATTTTTTTATTATGTTATGTTAATCACCATACATTACATCATCAGTTTTACAGTTAGACATTTTTACCAGGAATTTTTTTACCTATTAAAAAACTCTCTTGATTTTTAAAATGTGGCTTCTGGTTGGAATAATCACAGTTTTAAGGGTCTGGAACATCTACTCCCCTTGTTTCTCATTATGTAATCTTTGTTCTGATTGACCCCTGGAAGCTGGGTTTTTGCATTTTCTTAAAGCCATGATAGCTCCCAGCTGTCGCCCAACTCTTGCCCTTGTCCTCTTGCTGTCTATTCTCAGAGTGATTCTTGGAAAATGTAAATCTGACCGTGCCACTCCCCTCCGGGAATCCCCCAAAGCCTCTGGTCTCCAAATAAAATAGAAAGTCCTTAAGGCCGCTAACAGGTCCTGTATGCCCTGGGCCGTGGAGCTCCAGGCCCACCTCTCTGAACTCACTCCCTTCTGTTCTCCAAGTTAACCGCTCCCTCCACTCCAGCAGGCTCTCTGCGGTCTTCCAAACACACCAACAGTGTCCCCTTCTCTGCACCCACTCCCCACGTAGGCCATTCTTCCCTCACAGCATTCTCTTTGCTTAGAACCTTCTTTTATTTCCTTTGACAAATGTCATCTCCCCTGACTACCCTTCCAGAGGAAGACCGCATGGTGCCTCAGTCTTCCAATTAACACTTTGTGACACTTACCATCACTGACCTGTTAGAAATGTATTTGCATGTTGCAGCTTAATGTTGCATATTTATTTGTTGATTGTCTATCTCTATTCACTAGAACATAACCCCCAGGCCAGAAGGCATTTGCATGGTTATTAAGTGCTGAGTCCCCAGAGCTTACAACAGTGTCTGGCACACAGGGAGCCCTCAACAAATACAGAAGAGTGAGTGAACAAATGATCTTACTTCCAGTCCTCTTGGAAGTAAGGAGGCAAGCAATCAATTATAATTGAGTAATAACAGTGGGTTTTGCCAACAAGAATGAGAACATCAAAGTGGCTAGGAGTATGGCTGCTTTCTCACTGGGTTTACCTTAGGGAGTGAGTTCAAACTCGATTGGTGATGCTTCCTCTGATTTTTCAACAAAGTTTTGTCCCACTTTAGACTCTCTCTTCCTGGCTTCAATCTGCCACTTTCCCAGAGCTCCCTATCTCCAGAACATTACCACCATCCACCATGTCGTTGAGGCTGGAAAATTTGAGTGTGCTTGATTTGCCCTCTCTCCATTCCCAATGCCAATCACCAGCCCAAATCTGCTGTCCTGCCCAGATATTGCAATAATTTACTCATGGGATCCTCGCAGCCATCTTGCCCCATAAAGACACACACACACACACACACACACACACACACACACACACACTCTTCCTGCCCCCACTACTGCTTTATCTTCCCGCTCTTCAGTCCCCCACTCTAGGACTTTTCTTCTGAAGCAGGTTTCCCAGGCAGAACCCACCAAGCCAGGGGATCCCACGCCCCACCCCCTAACAACCCATCAGCATCTCTCATTAACACCAGTCCCTCTACAGAAGACCACAGGGTAGAATAGGCTAACCCCAGTGCCAAGTTACCCAGAAGATATTGAAGGAATAAGCACTCTGCCAAGCGGGCAGGACAAGGGCTGGATTTAATAGTGTTTGGAAGAAATCACAAAGGTCATGGTGAAAAGACATCAGTAGAGGTCTATTTCCTGGCTCAGACTCATTCTTAACCTATTTACCGGAAAAGTTACAAGGTGTAAGCAGCAACAACAGTTAATAATGGCAGCTTGAGCTTACTACGTGTCACACACGTTTCTACTCTTAGCACATGTTCTCTCGTTTCATCCTCACAAGAGTCCAGTGGCGTGAGTGCCACTATTCTTCCCATTTCTGAGATGAGAAAACTCAAACGCAGAAAGGTTGAGACACCTCCTCGGGGTCACACAGCTGGCAGAGGATTGAGACAGAATGCAAGCCCAGGCAGACCAACTACAGTCAGATCTTACGCACTCCATTTTACCAGCCCAGAAGACTGTGTCAAGACCCTCCTTCCTGTTCCATGATAACGAAGTGTGACAAGAGAGGCATGGGCCCTAAGCAATGAGAGCTGGCTCCAGCTCAGCCAGCAACAAGCCATGGTTTAGAGAAGGTCCAAAAGGAACGTTGGGCTACGTGAGTTGAAATTTCCTCTTCAGCCTAAGCAGAGTGTGGGTCTCATTGCCTCACAACCTGTCTGCGCTCCCACTGACCCCATACTCCATCCCAGAACCGTATCCCCTTCTGCCCCAACCATCCACACGTTCGTAACAAGGACCATGTCCTCCCTGCCTCCCTCTGAGCAGAAGCACCATGGTCTCAAGCATCACCTGCCCCTCTCCTTGTTATATCTTATTTTTATCATTACCCTTAGTACTCTGAGTTACAGGACCCAATTACTACCAATTTATAGAAGCCCTGCACCTTCTCCCATTGGATACACATTCCAGGGAAACCTGACAGTACATTTCTTGAAATCTGCTGCCCATCAGCTGAGGAATAAGGATGTTTTTGCTGGTTTAATGTAGTTCAAATTCTATTAGGATAATTGCCACAAAAATTGGTATCTTCGACTGGCAAAAGCCATTAAGCCAGCAAAAATCAACTTTATGAAGAAAACCATGTCTCGGTTTATTTTGCTTTGAAAATTATTTCAAAAGAGTAATAAATGACTACACAGCAATAATGAATTAAGAGATGAGACGAACAGACCTACCTTGTAAGGCGGCTGAGGACGTATCTGAGTATGACTCTGAGGGTTGTTCCTTTGTCTGAATTCTGATGTATCTTTAAAAACGACCTTGCACTTAACCAGCCACTGAGAGAGAGACAAGATGAGTCACAGGAATTACTGATCCATGATACACTTCATCCGATGATTAACGTGGTTGTCTCTATCAGGGTACAGTAAGTGATACTGTAGGAACAAGATTATCTCCAACACCAAAGCAATAATAGTTTTCTTTCTTGCTTATGCTGCGTGCCCACGGCCAGTCACCTCGAGCTCAGCATCTTCCCCACCAGGAGACCCAGGCTGAGGTTGCAGCCACTCTCTGAAAGAGCACCAGCAATCCTGGCAGAGAACAAAGCGTGTTGGAGGGCTTCAAACCACCAGTTAAATGCTCTAGCCCAGAAGTGACATGTTTAAAGCTCTTAGCATACTGGTACACCAGGTACCCCTCATTGGCCAGACCTAGTTCCCACCCAACCGCCACGGGGCCAGGAAGTAGACTCTTACCAAGGGCCTGGAGGGAAGAGAGCCAGAAATATTTGGTGAACAACTTTATGAGCTACCACATTAGCCTTTTGAAATAATAACATCCAAAGCCTTCCACTTTTATGGTACCACCTCGTTTTCAAAGTACTCTCGCTGACGGTGTTGCTTTTGCTTCTAGAGCAATACCAAACTCCTTTGCAATAAATGTTTGTTGAGCGAGTGATTGGTAAAAGGGAAGATGTTACTATCCCTGCTTACCTAATAGGGATACTGAAGCGCAAGGACTCAGTGGGTTGCCCAAGATTCTCCACCAACATATCCTGATGACAAATTTGTTACCCGGAATGCTCAGCTAAAGAAACAGGCTACGTCTCTGAGTTCTAACCTGATGATAAGCAAGTTTGGGAGGGAGTTTCCTGACCTTTTGACCTGGATGCCAATGATCCTTGTGGGTGTTTCCCTAAGGAACAAATGCATTTCCTATTGCAAAAGAAGGCTGTGTGTGTGTTGGAAGGGATCAGGGAGGGTTAGAGAACGTCTTTGTTCTCTGCCAGCACGATTTTCTTTTGAAACGCAGCAAGTTGGAGTCACTAGAATAGGAACACGATTGATAGAGACGTGCAGAAAGGCGCGGAGTTGTGGAAGTGAGACAGCCAATTCCAATTCCGGCCTCCTCTTCATTTCAGGAAAGAATGAATCGGGGTCTGTCTCTGTGTGCGGGCGTGCACCAGCCCGCCGTTCAGTTGGTCTGGAGGACAAAGAGAAAGGTGGCAGAGAAAACAGGCCTTGAGCAGGAGAAGTCGCTGTTGGAGGCTGGGAAGACCCAGAGACCTGCCTCCACGGGGGAAGAGTGCAATCCTGCCGTAGAGTTGCGCGGAGTCAGCCGGAGAGGTAGAAAGGGATCCCCGACCGTCCCCAGCGATAGTCAGGGGTCTTTGGCTTTACTATGTAAAATATGAGTGACACGGTGGGTTAAGACAGGCTTTGGGCCCGAAACAAACATAATGTTTCAGTTCTAATTCTAACTTTCCTAGCTGGGGGGGG